CTATGTGACAGGTACCATCTCTGTGCTAAAAAAGGTGAGGGCACACAGACAAACAAATCAATCTGGACACTGATTGTGGGCATCAGGAGTTTCGGGAGCAAGCTCAGAGAGTGAGGGCGGCTGCGCCACGTCTATTTGGAGGCTGAGTTTCGGATGCGAGTAGCAAGGTTTCTGGCAGTGAGGGTTGCATTGAAAAATCCCTGTGAGTTTGGATGTCAAGACTTTGGGAGTGAGGAATTCCTACAGAGCAGCTCCGTGGAGCACCGAGGGGGGAGCCGCAGGGCTTCCCAGAGGCAGAGCTGCTCGCTCCCAGAAAGAAAACTAGGAGTGTGCGCCGCAGCTCAGAGGCAAGAGGGCCTCGGAGGCAGAGGCACGGGTGCGTGCAAAGGCCGGAGGTGCAGAAGCCTCGCAAGCTTAGGGAGCTTCAAGTCGGTCTTTCTGGCTACAGCTTCAGAGGTGAGGAGGAGGAGTGCTGGGAAATGGGGATCAGAGAAGTTAAGAGCCCATTCAAGGGTCACACAGCAAACTTCTGGTCTAGCTGGGATTCGAACGTAGGCCCCTGAGTGAGGTTGGATGATGAGGCTCGGGGGTCGAGGGTAGGGCAGGAGGATATCTGTGCGGGCAGCAGGAGGCGGAAGTGGGCAGATGAGGGGAAGGGCATGGGGTGTGGCTGGTTCTACTGTGCTCCTGCTGACCTTGGGCCCGGGTCACTGTCTGGGTCACTGTCCTTGTTGCTCTGCCTACAGGGAGGTTTGGCGAGGTCCTGTAATGCCAGGCATGGGGCCAGTCTGTTCCAGCTAACTGCTCTCTGCCCTTCCTTCCGGTGCCTGAGCCCGTGCCCCTGCTCCGGGCAGGCTTGTGCAGCTGGCCACTCACTGACGAAGGCGCAGGCCGACTCACGCCTGGGCCTGCTGAGGCTGGAGACCCAGCTAGGGGCCACACAGGCCCGCATGGTGCATTCGGCAGGAAAGAGCACTGTGCTAGCAGTCGGGACCCAGGCTCTGGGTCTCGCCTGCCATTAACGAGTGTTGAACCTGGTCAAGCCACAAACCATCTGTCGTTCTGTAAAACAGGAAGGTCAGGCCACATGACCTCTAAGGTTTTGCCGGTCGGTAGTTCTCAAACTTTGGCCTCTATCAGAATCACTAGGAGGGCCAGTTACCATGCAGGGAGCCGGGCCCGCCCCAGAGCTTCAGATTCAGTGGGTCTGGGGTGGGGCCTGTATTTCTAACAAGTCCTAGACGATGCTGATGCCGCTGGTCGAGGGGCGACACTTCGAGAACCACGGCTCTAGCGACTCTGGCTACACATTAGAATCACTTGGAGGAGCTTTAAACAGCGTGGGGATCAGGCCCACCCCCAGAGCAATTAAGTCAGCTTCTCTGAGCCGGCGCCCGCGCTTTGTTATGGTTTAAAAGCTCTGCCAGGTGATTCTTAACGCTCTCCAGCGATAGGAACCACTGTTCTAGGAAAGCTGCCGGGGATGTGACGGGACATCGATTGGGCAAATATCCTCTTTCCCTTTGGAGAAATGTCTTTCAGATCCCAGCTCAGCCTCTCATTAGCTGCCCGACTTTGAAAAGCCTCCCGGAGCCTCAGTTTCCCCATCCATAAGGGGGGCTGTGAGGAAGACGGAATGGAAGCCGGCCTCGCTGTGTCTGCCCTCCCCTTCCTCTTGTCTCCAAGGAGAGCTTGTGCATTTCTTCTGCTCGGAGGCTGTTCAGCCGAGCACAATTCAATAAGCATTTATTAAAAACTCACCATGTGCAAGATGCTGCCCTTACTAATGTGGGAACACGAAGATGAATCAGGCTCGGTCCCCACTGCAAGGAGCTCACGTGCTCATGGGTGTGAGGAGGCATGTGTCCAAAACGTGAGGCGGGATGTGACACGGGCCACAGAGGAAGTAATCACGAGGAAGGCCACTGTAGGCAAGGCCCCCAGTGCGAGGCACTTTACAGGATATTTTAATTCTCCCAACAACCCATGAGGTAGCTACTATTAGAACACCCACTTTACAGGTGAAGAAACTGAGGCTTAAAGGGGTGGTCAGGTGCAAGAGCTCGGTTTTGTTGCCACAGGAGCCAGAGGATGAGATCCACACCATTCAAAAGGCTGGAAAGCCCAGCGGGAAGAAGTGTGGACCTTGCTTTGAAAGATGTATAGAAGTTCAATGGGTAAAGATAGAAAAAAAGGGATGCCAGGCAGTGGCAGCAGCACACAGAAGGGCCCTGAGGAGGGGGATCCCAGCAGCTTTAGGGGCCCGGAAGTGGTCTGATTTGGCTGAAATGCAGGCTGAGGGTGCATGGCATGATCCTGGTCGGAGACCTTGAATGCTGAGCTCAGGCATTTAGATTTTATATCTTAAGCAATGGGGAGCCATTGAAAATTCTAGAGCAGGGGGTGGCACATTTAGAAAAAGATGAACGTGTACCAGGTTATGGGAGGGGGGTGACCGGGAGCCCAGTAAGGAAGGAGATGGCTACACCAAATGGTCCATGAGAGATGGGGAGGCTAGCGAGGGGAGGACAGGAAAGCGGGCACAGAGGGAGGCGCACTGTCGCCACATGAGCCTTCTTTGGGCATCAGTTCCTGATGTGCATGCACCTGCTTACGGACTGAGCCATTCTGCACGGGGTGGGGCGGGGACAGGTGAGTCTCTGGGGCCCTGCAGCTCCACATGCAGCCCCCTCCAGTGGGGCTATGGTCCGTGGAGCGTGACCCTCTCAGGGCGGAGGACCCGCTGAAGCAGCGGGTAATGGGTTCCTGGGCCGGCTCAGAGCTGGCCGCCTGCCATGTTTCCGGGGTGGAGGTAGGTGGACCGGCCCAGCGGCCTGAGTCCTCCTGACTCCAGCCTTCCAGGTGAAGCATGCTGCCCTGCCTGCCTCCCGCTGCCAAGTTCACGGCCGGCTCAAGGCTCTCAGGCTCTGTGCATTGAGCTGAGCACAAACCCTCATGGGCTGAAGCCAGTTCCTAGAAGCAGAGTCCGGATGTGGAAAGAGCGCTGGGCTGGGAAGCTGCCACTTGCTGGCTGGTGGACCTCGGGCAGGTCCCTCAGCCCCTCTGAGGCCCGGATTTCCCAGCCTGCGGTTAGGGGCTTAGACAGGATCAAGGAGGCTAGTGCCGTGCCCCCACCTCCACCTGCCCCATTTTCTCTGCTTAACTTCCCTGGAGCATCTCAAGATGGCACGGGGACAAGCAGGGCAAGCCACTCTACAATCAAAGTCCAAGGCCATTTGAGCACTTTCATCAGTGGACTATCATATGTGCCCATTTTATAGATGACACAACCAAGGCCCAGAGACTTTCCATGACTACTAGCCCAGGGCCAAACATTCGGGAGGCTATAGGGGCAGGACGTGAACGCCAATCTCCTGCCCAAAGGAGCTGGACTCTCAGCTTGGCGTCCCCTAGACCCCCACTGCCTACCATGAGGTGGGGAGGATAGGTCTGGGGTGGGGGAAGATTGGCAGACATCCCCAGGGGCCAGGGGTTCTGGACGTGAGGGACGGTGCCTTGGCTGGGACAAAATATGTTTGACAAACACAGGACTGCATCCCTTCTCTGCATCGCACAGTGAGAAGATTCTCTTTTAAGCCACCTGATGCCACGGAGAAGACAGTCTCTGCTGGGTGCTAATAGCTCTTCAACGCCTCACCCCACCCTGCCAATCTCCCTTTTCCACCGAGGACGCATCTCAAGGCTTGGCAGGACACAGCTTCCAGCCAGAACTTAATAACCTTGCTTTGTTTTCCTTGGGCTTATTTTTATTCTTACCTTCTATTTATGGCAAGTGATACTGGTTTCCCATTTAAGGCAGTGATATAACGATTGTCTAAAAAAAGCGTTTAAGGGGAAGAAAAGTGGGTCTTGGATTTAAAGAAAATACGCATCAAGTAATAAGTGGTGTCTAGGTATGGCACGAGAATAACCGATATCTGCCCTGGTTCAAGAGGAGGAGAATGGAGGCGAGGGAGGCGCTGCCCAAGGACCCCCCGGACCGCACACCACGCAGACCTCCATCCAGGCGCGCCAGGCCAAGGTGACTCGGCGGCCCCGTCTGGCCGCACGTGCGCGGCGCATGTGCCAGCCCGCGGGGTCCCGCGCGCACCGAGACCTCGGGCGGGGAGCGGCGGCTCGGATCGGGCACCCGGGAGGGCACCCAGGGGGTCGGTCCCGGGAAGGAGAAGGGCGCGGGAGCGGTGGCGCGCGACCCCGCGGGAGCGGCTGGGGCCCCGGGCGGCTGGCGGCGGGCCCCTCGCGGGTCACCTGCGGCCGGGGCGGCGCGCGTGTGAGGGCATGCGCAGACGTCAGCCTCCCGGGCCCGTGCCGCCTTCCGGTCACGGTGCGCGCGCCCGGCCCCCGGCCCCACGCGCCCGGGCACGCGGAGCGCCAGCGGTGTGGGGGGCGGTGCCAGGCCGCAGGACCCGCCGCCCATTGGCCGAGCGCGGGGGCGGGGCGCCGGCGGGGGCGGGGCGCGGGCTCGGGGAGGCAGAGGTGGGCGCGGGGCGGCTGGACCCGCTGCTCGCGGGGTCGGAGGGGGTCTGCGGGCCCCGCGTGCGGGGGCGACAGAGGGCGCCCGGGGCTGAGCTGGGCTTCCGTGCTGGCCCCGCCATCGGGAGCCTGAGCTGCCACCACTTTTCGGGGGGACCCCTGACCTCGCCCTGCCGGAGAAGGAGAAACATTCGCCTCCGGGAAAGGGAGGGAAGGAGGAGCCGGGGCCCCGCAGAAAGTTCGCCTCCTCTGGGGGCCAGAGGAGGTGCAGGGGAGGAGGAGCCGGTGTGAGGCTAACTCGAGCTCCGAAGCTTTGGGGCGGCGTTCAAGGCCCCCTCCCACACGCGCGAGGAGCTGAGCGCCCTGCTCCTCCTTCAGCTGCTGGCGTCGCCTCGCGGGGAGAAAGGACCTGCCCTCCCGCGGGAGGAGAGCTGCCGAGCTGCGGGCAGAGGAGGCGGCAGCCGCCGAACCCCCCAACCCGGGCAGGCGGAGAAGGGAGCATAGGCGGCCAGGCGGGTTCGCCCACCCAGGACACACACACACAGTCGCCTCCAAAGGACCCGCCGGGAGTCTCTAAGGACCCTCTTTAAGTCCCGGAGTCGCCCCTACCGCCCTCCCCATATCCCCGGAGCCCCAGGCGGGGACCCCAGCATCGGACGTCCCCGCGCCTCCGGGCACCTGGCTCAGCCGGAGTCCCCCGGGTCGGGGCAGGGCCGGGCCGGCGGCGGCGAGCCGGAGCCCGCCCGGCGCCCGGGCCCTGCCGAGCCCTCGGAAGCCGCCCATGGGGCTCCGGCTGCCCGATCCCCCGAGCCCGGCCGCGCCCAGCCTGGCGGCTCGAGCCGCGCGCAGGAGGAGCCGGGCGCAGTGACCCGGGAGACCCCGCAGACTCCCGAAAGCGCGGCGGCGGCGGCGGCGGCGGCCGGCGGGGCAGGCGGTTCCTCGCACCTCCAGGCGCTTCCAGGCAGCCCTCCGAGCCGTGCCAGAGGCCCGGCCCGCCATTCCCAGGTAGGAGCGAGACAGCCCACCAGAGCTGGGGAGCTGGGCGAAGTGGGCAAGCCGGGAAGAAAGGTTTGAGGCTTGTCGGGGGGCTGGGTGACGCTTTACAGGGCGAGGGAAAGTTAAGCGGATGGAGCATCTGCTCGGGGCCGGGATCCTCCGGCAACTGCCTGTCCCGAGAAGATGAAGTTCGTTGAGGGCTGTGTGGGCCTGGGGGCTGGGCCCTTTCCTTATGCCCGGGAAGGCAGACTCTGCGACCTGCTCCTGTGTGCTGGATCTGGCGCTGGGAGCTTTCCATTTAAGAGATCTGGAGTAAGAGCCCATTTAAACAGGAGGAAACCGAGACTCCGGGAGCAGAGACACACACCTTCCCCAAGCACGCTGGCCCCACTTCCTGAGCCAGCTGCAGCTTGCAAACCTGGGGCGGGGAGGGGATGGGACCCGCCAGTGGCCCCTCAGCCTGGGGTGCATCTCCTTTGAGGAGGCAAGATTAAGGAGTGTCTTCCCTGACCAGAGTTGCTTGAGCTTTTTTTCTAGGTTGGCGCAAGGAGTGTTTCCTTCCCAGGAAGGGTTTCCTGTGCTCAGCTAGCCAGAGGGACCCCTGCCCCCTGCCTGCCTCTGAGGGGCTCTCTCTGACCTCTCTGCCCCCAGCCCTGGGAGGATGACAAAGGATGTTGTCCAGGACATCATGGGAGATAGGAGGCTGAGCTGGGAGTGGACAGCCAGCTCAGGAGCCCGTGATTCAGGCTTCCCCTCTCATCGGAGAGACAAGATGGGGTCCCCGCAAGACCTCTGCCTGTGCTCCAGGCCCACCCCACCTGGCTGCTCCAGGCAGCCCCTTGGCTGCCAAGAGGAAGTGCCGCAAAGAAAGGAGGCTGCTTGCTGTGTGCCAGGGGCTGTGCCAGCCTCTTCACTTCTCCCTAAACTCTCGGGGCCACGCTGTGGGCTTGTTTAGAGTGTACCCATTTGGTAGATGACCAGTCCCCTCCGGCCAAGCCATTTGCCCAAGGTTGCCGAGCTGGCAAGAGGCAGAGCTGATCTGCTGAAAGCTGATGCCTGCCTGCTTTCTCCCATCCTGAGCCGTTAAGGCTGCTGAGGTTGGCTTTGCAAAGCCCCCAGGAGTCCCCTCAGTGTGGGCATGGAGGCCAGTGAATACACGTGTGTCCAGAGAGGCTGGGGTGTGCGTGGATGGGGTGTGTGTGGATGGAGGATGCTTAAGGTGTGTGGGAGGCAGAGAGGGAAAGAGCGCCAGTGCAGTGACAAGCTCTGGGGTACTCACAAGGAGGAGGACGTGTCCAGACTCTCGTCCTGCCGTCCTTGACCATCTGACCCCTGCGTCTTCCAGGCAAGCCCTGGGGGAGGGGCTTGAAGGGGAAGAAACGGGTGAAGCCGCCGAAGCGTTTGCTGGGAGCTGGCTGGGCAGGGTTTGGGGGAGAGTGTGGGCAGGGTGCCCGCCCCCAGCTGCTTGTAGGGAGAGAGAGGGAATGAACGTATAATAGCCCTCAGGGGTCGCTGCCCTGCCTGATGCCAGCTGAGGCTCACTGAGTCAGACACTGTTGAAAAAGACTCTGGTTTTGGCCAGGAGGTGGGTTGGATAGAGGTAAGAGCCCAGACTTTGAAGCTGACGGCCTGATTCTAATCCTGGCCCAGCCAGTCATCTGTGAGCTGGGGCAAGTGACTCAGCTTCTCGGAGCTTCAGTGTCCCCATCGGTCCGGTGGGTCGATGGCAGACCCCTCTTGATGGGACTGTTGTGAAGTCGTTGGAATAAGGGACACAAAGCACCCAGTGTGATGGAAGCTGCCTGGCTGTGCCCATGCTTCCCCCAGGATGGCCCCACTGCACCTCTGCTCCGGGGCTTTCTGCCTCCCAGGTGCCCTTAGAATGACCCGGGGGTCCCGCTTAACCACTCTCTGGGCCTCCTGGGTGGGACTCTAAACTCTCAAAGGGCCCTTTGAACTCCGACCCCTGTGTGCTCCTCGCTGTGGGGTCAGCCTGGCTGAGGATGAGACAGGAGAGCAGGTGGCGGCTGAGGAGCTGTGCCCACAGCGCTACCCATGGTGCCTCCTCCTCAGAGGGAGGAGAGAGAAGGAGGAGGTGGGGGTGGGAGGAAGGAGGAGGTGGGGGTGGGAGGCGGGACCCACCGAGGTACTGTCACCTGGTGTCCAGGTGTCTGGGCAGCTCACACAGCCCCACATGTCTGGGGCCACGTGAAACTCGCAGTCTGCTCTCAGAGAGGAAAGCCACATGTTTTTTTCTCCTTTGCCTCTCTTTGGCTCCCTGCCTCCTCTCTCTGACTCTCTGCCTCCTCTCTCTGCCTGCCTGCCTCCTCTCTTGGACTCCCTGCCCCCGTCTCTGACTTCCTTGGGCCCATTCAGTCACTGACATTAGCACGGTACCAGGAGCTCTGGGCTAGAGGCTGGGGCAGGCAGGGGTGGAGACCAAGATTGTCCTGGGGGCTGCTGGCCTCCTCCTCTCTCTGTCTAGACGGAGGTGATCCCCAGCAGAGTCAGGCTCCCTGCCGAGGGACCTGGGGAGGGGGCTGTCATGGGTGGGCCCTCTTTGCCCCCATCTCCACCAGAGGCCCAGGCCGGCTTGCCCAGCCCCGAAGGAGACTGAGAAGGGTTCCCTGGGGATGGTCTTGCCGCCTCCTCTCCCCACTGCCCGCCCCCGGGTGTGCCTGGGGCACCGAGACCCTCCTGAGCACAGCCCCTGGGCCGGCAGGCAGGGTGGGGGTGGAGGAGAAGCCCCCAGAAGGGGGCTTCGGGCTGGCTCCAGAGGAAAAGCCACTCGCTCCATTCATTCATGGGTCATTTATTGAACGCCTGCTGTATGTATGCACTGAAATCCTGTGGGATAGATTGAGAGGTGGCTTCAAGCATAAACGGGGAGGGGAACGGGGCGGGGGGTGTCTCAGGCTTGGCGTCACTGTCCTGGCTCCCTTATTAACTAAACGGGCCAGTCACATAGACTTTTGAGCCTCAGGGTCCTTCGTGGGGAGGCGGTGAGAAGACTCCGCAGCACAGGGTCACACTGTGTGGGTTCAAGTCCCCCCTTGGCTGGGCACTGGCTGTGTGGCCATGAGCAAGTTCCTAAACTTTCTCTGGGCTTCAGTTTCCTCATCTTTAAATTGGGGCAACTCTGCTTACCTTGGGGGGTTACTGAGGGCCGACGTGGGCTGTGACATACGCAGCATTTGAAGACTCTGGCATCTGTTGGCTGCGAAATAAATGTCAGCTTCTGTCACTGTCCTCTCCTTGGCACACGGCACTGGCTTGGTCAGTGGTGGCTGTTGTCACAACTCCGGGCCTGGTCTGCAGGGTACTGAGCGGCCTCATTGCACGTGTCCCTTCATTCATAGCGGCTGTCCTGTAGCTTGGAGCTGGCCATGTGGGAGTACGTATGCTACTGAGATTGACAGGCGCTACCAGCCAGAGCTTTCTAGAAGGGTCTTTCTGGGTTCCGGCTTACTGCTCAGCGGCTCTCAGTTGGGCTGGGCAAGCAGACGCGGAGGCCTGAGTGCCCTGCACGGGAGACCCGCACATGGGAGGTGTGTCCACCTCGGGTCCTGTAATGTTCTAGTCACGGCAGACATCGAACGTTACCATGTTGGAGACAGCCTTGAGGGGAATGGACGTGGTGCTCCAGGCTCCTGACCTAGGGCCACCGGGGGTCGGGACCAGGCATATTAGCAGGTGCTGCCTTTTGTGCAGATTGAAAGAAGGTGCCTTCTCTGAGCAGATGGACTCTGCAAAGACAGCCCCCACTTTCTCACTCAGCTGGGTGCCTGGTGCAGTGCCCAACCTGCACAACCATGGGTGGCAACCTGCTGAGGGCAGAGAGGGTCCGTATTTCAGCTGGCCTGTGCCCATTTGCACTTCCTCTTCTCTAGAGAGGGGAGGGTTTCCTGCTGGGGTGGGGTGGGAAGTCAGGGAGGGCTTCAGAGAGGAGGTAGCCTTTGGGCCAGACCCTGAAACATGAAGTGAAGAGGGTGTTTTGGGGGAGGGACTAGCATGAGCTATGGATCGGGGGCAGGTCTCAGCAGAGCTCACACTGACTAGGGCGACTGGGGCTCAGGGCTCGGGGGTTCTGGGGGTGCTCGAATCGGAAAGGAGGGCTTGGCTGTGAACGGCCTCTGGGGAGGGCCTCCCGGGGCCTCTGGAGGTTTGCTCATCTCCACTTGGGGTTTGGAGCTTGGGTCCATTTCCTCCTCTTCCGCAAGGCCAAGAGGCTCCTATGGAAGGTTCTGGGTGTGCTCTGGAACCATCAACCCTTGGAGCTCTGAGCGGCTTGTGTCACTCCTGGGTTGTTTCTCTGACCCGCATCCCCTAGTCCAGGTCCCTGGGTCTCCTGGAGGTGGCCAAAGTCCCAGGGCCTGGGGGTGAAAATCCCAGGGCAGCGTGGCCCTGGGCATGGAGGACTGGTCTGGACGTGGCCTTTCCCTTCTCCCCAGGGGGCTCTAAGGTCACGGCCCCCAGGCCCGTGCTGAAGGCCTGTGCCCTGTCCTGCAGGCACAGGCTCCTGGGAGGCCAGAATGGAGAGGACGGGGCATGAGAGTTAGCCTTTTTGAGGTCTTCCCATATGCAGAGCTCTTTACGACAGCCCCGTGAGTCGAGCCCATTTTACAGACAGAAAACTGAGACCCAGACAGGAGCACGCGGAGGAGGGCCGGGCCCAGGGCCCCTGACGCCTGCTCCCCGCTCTCTGCCGCAGCCCCGAGCCATGATGAAGACCTTGTCCAGCGGCAACTGCGCGCTCAGCGTGCCCGCCAAAAACTCCTACCGCATGGTGGTGCTGGGCGCCTCGCGGGTGGGCAAGAGCTCCATCGTCTCCCGCTTCCTCAACGGCCGCTTCGACGACCAGTACACACCCACCATCGAGGACTTCCACCGCAAAGTCTACAACATCCGTGGGGACATGTACCAGCTGGACATCCTGGACACGTCCGGCAACCACCCCTTCCCCGCCATGCGCAGGCTCTCCATCCTTACAGGTGGGTGCCTGGGCGGGCGTGGGCGCTGAGGATGCGGGTGCAGAAACCAAGGGGCTGCTGCCTTCTCCTCCTGCGGGAGGTGACTTGACAGGGCTCCGGGGCCCGTGGTCAGTCTGCTGGGCTCCGGTCTCTTGACGCCCCAGGCCTTTGCCGCGTCTCGGCGAGGTAGGGCAGGACTGGGCAGTGGCCAGCCAGAGGGCAGCCGGGGGCCCTGCCCAAGCTGGGGGCTCAGTAACAATCATAGTAGCAGTAATGGCAACAGCTGACACTTATCAAGACCCGTTCTTAGAGCTGGGCATGTATTTATGTAATCCTCACACCTAACCAAGGAGATAGGTTTTAGCTTCCATTTTACAAGTGGGGAAACTGAGGCCCAGAGAGGTTAAGTTACTCCAGGTGGTAACACAGCTGATAGATGGCCGTCTGGCTCTCATGCTTTATTTACCACCAAGCTCCCCTGTAGCCTCTGGAACCTGCCAGGAGGGGAGCAGTGGGGAGGGAGTGGGAGACTGTGGGGATTAAGGGGCCGGGGGAGGTGTGGGACCGGGCCATCCTCACATCACTCAGGCACTTCTGTGCGGTGGCGAAGAGGGCAGGCCCGGAAACCTGGCCACCTGGGTCCTGTCCTGGTTCCACTGCATCCTGGTTTTGTACCCCTGGGCAAGTGACTTTGTCTCTGTGCCTCAGTTTTCTCATCTGTAAACTGGCGTCACGTTGGCACCCACCCCAGAGGGCATGGTGAGAATGAAACGAGTCACTGTGGGTGCGTGGTGAGCATGTGGGAAGTGCACGGTAACTGTTGGGTTTAGGTTCAGCCGCAGTGTGCCCGCTGCGGCCGTGCGGTCATTCCCCAGGCCTGCCCCTCGCATGGCCGGGCAGGGAGGGAGGGAAGGAAGGAGTGAGGAACCCTCCAGCCATCACTAACCCCTCCAGATAGAGACCCTTCTGCGCCGAGAAACCGGAGCCATTCCCGTCCCCTGCCCCAGACCCTCCGTGAATGCCCAAGGTGGACAGCTTCCTCTTCTGGGTGGTCCTTGCTGACCATCTGACCCAGATCGCGCTTGCACCCCCCAGACCCCATATTTTGGAGAGGAATGTGTGGATAGCAGGAGCCCTGGGTCGACCTGGGTTCCAGTCCTGGCTTCACTGCTTGGTGGTCCAGACGTGTGACCAGACGTCTGAATCCCTGTCTCCCCAGCTGCACAACGGGCATAACCTTGCTTCTCCCCGGTGTGGCCGTGAGGACTGACCAAAAGTGGTGGTGGGGGGGTGCTTCCAGCACACAGTGGCTACTGCAGGAATGTCAGCTCTCCCTTCCTTGGGGAGAGGACTGGGCACCCACCCATATAAATGGGGCTAACGTCAGAAGGAGGGAAAGGAGATGTGGAGAGGAGCCACATGCAATTTCCAAAATTAATTATTATTTTACTTTTTTTTTGCTGAGGAAGATTCGCCCTGAGCTGACATCTATTGCCAATTTTCCTCTTTTTTTTTGCTTGAGGAAGATTAGCTCTGACCTAACATCTGTACCCATCTTTCTCCACTTTATATGTGGGTTGCTGCCACAGGATGGCTGATGAGTGGTGTTAGTCTTCACCTGGGATCTGATCCTGTGAACCCAGGCCACCAAAGTGGAGCATGCCAAACTTAACTGCTACGCCATGGGTCTGGCCTCCCAAATTAATTTTTAATTACACAAATAATATACTCACACCTTCCTTTAAGCATACGGAAAAGGCTAAAAAGCTCCCTTGACCCATGACCCCAACCCTGGGATCCTCCCCCTCCCCGGAGGTGACCACCCCATCAGTCTGACGTGGACACTCCTGGACGCCCCCTGCACACGCTGACATTCATGGTCTTATCCCCGTAATAGAGTATTTTCGTCATCTCTTCTTCCCGTGCGCACATCACTCCAGGCACACCTGTCTGCTGCCTGCTCTCTTCCCCCCCAGCCCCCGACCCTGGCCTCATTTTCCAGCCTGGTGCTGGTGCCCAGGAGATGCTAAAGGCATTCATCCCGCCACCAGCCCTGCTTCCGTTGCCAGCCGCGTCTCTGGAGCTTGGCATCGCAGTCTTGCATTTGAATATGTCAAGGCCGCCGAGTCCTCAGGGGCCCAGGATTAGCCCAATGGGACGGGGTTTGGCAGCACGAGCGGAAACGGTTGCCAGGCTGGCACTGCCTTTCTAAACAGCTCACACCGTCATTCGTCCAGCCCATCCTGTCCATTCAGCCAGCTTTGTGAACACCCACTGTGCGCTGGGCTCCGAGACCACGAGGGGGATGAGGTCTCCCTGTGCCCGCGAGCTGACTGGTCAGAGCACGCTGTTGGCCGGACACAGTTCTGGCTGTGGCATGTGCTGTTACCGGGGCACATGGCGTGCTCTGGGGCCCAGAGGAATGGACAGAGGTGCTGCCAGGAGCTGGAACCGCTTGAGTCTTCTCTTGAGAAGCAGGCCAGTTACCCACGCCTCTGAGCCTCAGTTTCCTCATCTGTAAAACAGGGATCTTGACCTTTCCCCCCAGGTTCTTGCGAATTTAAGCCACAGTGTGGAAGGTGCCTTGGGTGTGAGGCTGTGCTCACTGTAGTAAGATCTGGAAACTGGGCTGCAGGCACGGGCCCTCCCTCGCCCTCCCTGCCACCCCCGCCCCCCTCTGCATCGTCCGTGTTTCAGACTCAAAGACGTGTCTTGGCCGATGCAGCGAGTTGAAGCAGGGGTGGTGTGGGCCCTGGAAGCCGGCGTTCACTTACTCGTCCATGACTTATTCAAGGAGCAGAGAGCCCTCGCTGGGTGCTGGGCACCAGGTGGGTGAGGACAGAATCAGGTCCAAATCTCGGCCTGGCCACCTTCGAGCTGTGTGATCTTAGGCAGGTTGTTTGCCCTTTCTGAGCCTCAGGCTGCTCACCTGTAACATGAGGGTGATGAACTCTCCCTCACAGAGGTTTTGGGAGGAGTCAAGGGGAAAAGTGGGCATGCAGCACGTGACCCACGCTGGTGCTCACAGGTGCCTTGTTCTCATCATTATTACTGAGACCTAAGATCACCAGGCATAAGCCGCTTCCCAGTCATTGTCTCGTGAAATGCTCAAAATCATCCTACAGGCCAGGACTTCATCCGCTGGGGACAGGTGGGGAAACTGAGGTTTAGAGAGGTCGCATGACGTGCTCAAGGCCGTGTGGCTACTAGGTGGAGGAGGCATGTTGAGCTAGCCTGCCTGATGCCAACTCTCTGAGTTCCTACTATGCGTTAGGCTCTAGTCCAGGCACTGGGGATGTGCACTGACCAAGACACGCAAGACCCCGGCCCTCATGGAAATCGTCTTTATTATTATTCGAACAAGTCCGCACAGGTGCACAACTCACTCACCCGTCTCCAGCCCTGCAGGGAAGCGTAGGGTGAATTCACTGGGTTTGAACCATATGCGCCCACATTAGCTACGTGACCTCGAACAAGGGATTTAACCCTCGGGCCTCAAGTCTCCCGCTCTGGAAAATGGGAGAATAACAGAACATCCCCGCAGAGCCAGTGGAGCGCTAAGTCAGTGATGCTGCGCGAAGGGCTCAGTGCCCCTAAACGTCAGCGGGCGGGGTGATGGGTCACGCAGAGGGGGCCCACGAGGGAGGCCGGGCGCCGGCCTGTGGACTCACCACCCGGGTTTTCCCTCCTGCAGGCGACGTCTTCATCCTGGTGTTCAGCCTGGATAACCGGGAGTCCTTCGACGAGGTCAAGCGGCTCCAGAAACAGATCCTGGAGGTCAAGTCGTGCCTGAAGAACAAGACCAAGGAGGCGGCCGAGCTGCCCATGGTCATCTGCGGCAACAAGAACGACCACGGCGAGCTCTGCCGCCAGGTGCCCGCCACCGAGGCCGAGCTGCTGGTGTCGGGCGACGAGAACTGCGCCTACTTCGAGGTGTCGGCCAAGAAGAACACCAACGTGGACGAGATGTTCTACGTGCTCTTCAGCATGGCCAAGCTGCCGCACGAGATGAGCCCGGCCCTGCACCGCAAGATCTCCGTGCAGTACGGCGACGCCTTCCACCCCAGGCCATTCTGCATGCGCCGCGTCAAGGAGATGGACGCCTACGGCATGGTGTCACCCTTCGCCCGCCGGCCCAGCGTCAACAGTGACCTCAAGTACATCAAGGCCAAGGTCCTTCGGGAGGGCCAGGCCCGAGAGCGGGACAAGTGCACCATCCAGTGAGCAGGAGGGAGGCTGGGGGGGGGGGGGGTGCGCCTTGGGTGGTGCCTTACGGGATGGCCCCCGATGTCCCCTGGACAAGACCCCACGGCAGTCGTGTTCAGTGACCTTGGGCACCAGCCTGGAGGACCCCGGCCTCTGACCTTGGACGTTCTCCTGCCTTCCCACTGCTTCCCTCTTCTCCACGGCTCCCCCGTGGTTTCATCTCCTCCGTGGGGAGATGGGTCTCTGCGGGGCAGGAAACAAGGTCGGGGGACACCCTGGGCTTATGCGGGGACCCCCGTCGGAGCTTTCCTGTCCTTGGGATGCAAGAAACAGCGATGCCAGAGGGGCCGGGACCCCCGCCTCCAACAGCGCCCCCTGGAACAGTCACAGATTGAAAACAACGCCCAGAGCCAGAGGGGAGAGGTGGCCGCTCTCCTGGTGTAAGACCCAGCTTGGTTTAGGTGGCGGCTGGGAGACCCCCCCACCCTGAAAATCTTGCCTTCTGGCTCAGCTGTTTCTCCCCCAGCCCCCCAGCTGTCCCTGACATGGAGCAGGGGCGTCTGTGTGTCCAAAGGGAGGCCGGCCACATCTCCCAGACCACGTCCACCTCCTGGACTGCCCTCCTCCACCTCTTTGCCCCGCTTCCTCTCGTCCGCTGGCTGTGCTTTGTGGCTGCAGCTGTTTTCATGTCATGCGTAGCGGTAGAAGTGGATGTTACTGTACTGTGCAAGCCTGGTGACCCCTCGCTGGCTAGGCCCCTACCCAAGTGCAATACGCGGCCTCCACTGGGGACGGCCCGCGTCCGGATGGGGTCCCGTGGCCCATCTGCAGCTGGACAGCTTCACCGTGGACCCCTGCATGGTGGGGCAGGCAGGCCGGGCCGCGGCTCCTGCCCCCATTTCACGGAGGGGGAGGCTGAGACTCAGAGGGGAAGTGACGAGCGCCAGCCCTGGCGCCCTCGAGTGCCAGGCTGTCCTCCACTGTGCTCGTTCCTCAGACATTTATGGAGCACCTGCTGGGTGCAGGGCCCACCGTGTGCTGGGAAGCAAAGAAGGTGAGCAGTGCACTTTCCGCCCCCCAGGCCAGGGCGCTCCCCGGCCCGGCCTCTGTCCCTTCACCGGCCCAGCCCTGCTGTCCACTGCCTTCTGCACACCAGCTGTTGGGAGGCGTGGAGGAGCAGCTGGGAGCCTGAGCTGAGCCCGGGAGAGGCAGGTGATAAAAGCTCCCGGTGGGTCTTTTCCCTTGTACCTGGGAGTGGACGTGCTGGACGCCAGGCGTGGCAGGATCTGAACCTGTAGACCAAAAACTCTTGTCATCAGCTCTTAAACACGTTTTGTATCTTAATCTCTTTGAAAATATTGACGTTTAGGGCTGCAAAGAGCCTTGGAGATCATCTAGTGAATCATTCTGAGGCCCAGAGATGGGGAGGAGCTTGCCTCAGGTCACACAGCAAGTCTCTGAGTGGCAGAAGCAGGACCAGGTCTGGGCCTTCAGCACACACTGTGATGGGCCCCTCTCCTGAGGCTGCCTCAGCCCCTGGGGCCTTCAGAGATTTGAGGCGTCTTCTCCTGACCCTCTCCCTGAGTCTGTCTGGGAGGGCTCCTGGGGATTCTGTGTACATTGTGCCCATGTACATACATGTACGCACGTGAACACACACATATACACGTGCTCCGGCCCCAGCTCTGCACCCCCTACACCCCAAGGCAGCAGCTCTGACCCTGCTTCTGTGTCCCCGCCCGGCCCCTGCCTGACCCTTCGAAGCGGACCAGGTACCTTGGCCAGGACAGGTGTGTGGCCTGGTCTCACCCAGTCACGCGCTCCCTGCCTCAGATCTCTGTGTACACTACCGATTAAAGTGGGTTCGTTTCTAAGCTGTGTCCTTGACCATGTGTATTTTCTGCATTTCCAAGAGGAGGTGCACCTCTTCCCCCACTGAAGCTGGCCTCTCCCGCCCCGGACTGCACTGCCCCAGGCCCTCGCCCTGCGCGTCCACGCTGAGGCAGTCTTCAAGCTTCAGTAGGTGGGGGCGGGGGCACCCAGGATGGGAGGTTGTGCCCTTTATTGGGCCCTGGCCCCTCTGGGCCGCCCAGGGTTATGTGTGTTGAGTTGTCTGTGTCCCTCTGGAGGGGTGGCCAGGTCAGACAGGAGTGGGCCCCCTGGACTGTCAGCCTTTTGGGGTTCCCCCTTGGACCGTTAGCCCTTTGGGGTCACCATATGTGTGAGTTCTGTGTGGCTCCTGTGGAGTGTTGATTTTTTTCCCCTGGGACATTTGGCAATGTCTGCAAACATTCTTGATTGTCAAGATTTGGGGGCTGCTACTAGCCTCTGCTGGGTAGAGGCCAGGGATGCTGCTGAACCCCCTCCAGAGCCCAGGAGAGCCCCACGATAAGGAGTGGTCTGGCCCAAATGTCACGAGTGGGCAGCCTCACTTGGGCTGTTGACCCTCAAGGTGGGGACATGGCTCACGTCTGTGTACGGTTGATACGACGTACAGCTTTCTGGACAGTATTTAATAAACACTGCACAGGCCGAGTGTGCCCTCGTGTGAATGAGACGGGCTGTGGGTGGGGATGGCAGGTGCAGGTGGCAGGAGAAGGTCTTGTCCCCGTGCAGCCCCGAACGTGCCGCCTCCCACGGTCCTCCTTGGGTGGAGGGAGGAAACGGGAATCAGCGTGCACCTGCAGTGTGCTTTACGCGTCGCGTCTCATGTCAGCCTCGAATCTTCTCACTCCGTGAGGATCATGATCCTCAGGTTGGCCCTGTGTTCAGTATCTGTCCAAGATGGCACGGCCGCTGAAGTGCAGAAGGGGATTCGAAACCAGAGGCCACCTTAGCTCCATGCGGGAGAGGAAGGAGTTGGCATCTGGGAGATGGAGATGCGTCTGTGCTTCTGATCAATGGGCAAAAGGCCCTGAGCATGCAGATGCTCGGCCTGGAGATGGATGGGTTCCGAGAGAAGTCCCTTCCTGCCAGGAGCTCACGACCCAGAGGGAGAGGTCTGCACATGCACGTTCACAAAGCCAGGTGAGACTGGCTCTGGTGGAGGCATAGCCAGAGGGGCTGGGGGTGGGGAGCTGGGGGAGAGCTCCTCCCTCCGTCCACCTGGGAGCCCAGCTCCTCCCTCTGTCCACCTGGGAGCCCAGCTCCTCCCTCTGTCCATCTGAAGCCCAGCTGCCCTCCTATCCTTTTCCTACACCAGCCAGAGAAGGTCAGTGTGGGAGGCAAGTCACCTTGATGCTTCCCCAGTCCTGGTTTCTGTCGTTTTGAGACGTGGGGGTGAAGACCCCCTTCTCCATCGTGGACCAGTGCCGCACCATCAGAAGGGCTAGCGGGGAGGCAGCTGGGTGTGCTGGACCATGGGGCCCACCTCTGCCACCCCCTCCCTCCGGGTGGCCAGTGAATGAGTCACGTCCTCCCCAGGCTTCAGTCTCTTCATCTCTAAGTGGGAGATGGGGAGAAGGGCAGCTGGACCAGACAACACAGGCACAGCCCCTTGCAGGCCCATGTTCTCTGCAGGAAGGAATTAATATTCCTATTACATAACCCACAACATTCCGATCGTTGCTAAACAGAACACGCTCGCTCCAGCCCCGGCCCCAGCCCCGTGTCCCGCATCCCACAGACTCGCCCTGGAATGGGGCGAGCGAGCAAAGGGCTTCAGCAGAGGAGGGCGACTTCTCCGACCAGTCTCTTCTTAGCCCTGGGATGGAGGGTGGAGTAAGATGGTAGGAAAATTCTGCTCACGGGAAGACCGTTCAGAGACGAGCTCAGGACAGCCAGCTCCCTTCCCGGCCCCTGGAAGGAAGCTGGGAATCTGATTTCAGAGAATTCTGCGCTGCAAACTCTAAATACTTGTTCTGTTCCACCTCTCTGAACCTGTCACTGACTCAAAAGAAAAACCAGTCTCCATCAGGGCTTGGTGGGGGCTGACGGGAGGCCAGCTGGGGCTCAGAAGCAAAGGCTGCTGGGAACAGGAGAAGGGAAAGAGAGTTGATCTTTGTTGAAGACCTACTATGCACCAAGCACTGTGCTAGGCATGTTCCCTGCATCCTCTCATTGGATCCTCATGGCAAATGTATGTGGAAGGATTATGTATCCCTTTTTGCATATGAGGGAACTGAGGCTCAGAGAGGTAAAGCCACTTGCCCAAGGTTGCACAGCCAGTAAGTGGCAGAGCTGCGCTAGAATCCACATCTGACTGCAGAGCCTGTTTTTTCCCCAGAGCATTCATAACTGAGGGGCTTCCTCAGTTATGAGAGAGCTTTCATGAACAGCTGCGGAGCTGTTCTCCAGAGGGAGAGGCCAGCCAGGTTGGGGTGCGATGTCTGAACTTGGTCAGAGAACTTGGGCAGGTGTGATTCAGAGGGAGTGAGATGCCCGACCCTTCGTATCAAAAGGCCCAGCCACTGTAACAGGAGAACTCGGCTTCTTTTTCGTGGAAAAGTCCGAGATGAGGGTGCTAGGCCAAAGGGTGGCTCTGCCTGACCTGGTCACTCAAGCGTCCGGGTTTCAGGTTCCTTCACATCTAAGACCCTGTTCTTTTCAGGGCCCCAGACACATCCCTCCCAGTCACTTTCCACTGGCAAGACTCAGTCTCGTGCTCATGGATGAGAAGGGCTGGGAAACAGAGGTCCTTGCAGGCTGCCCATGCCAATGGCGACTGGCTACTGGAAAAAGAGGAGGGACGCTCTTGCTGGCCAGCCATCGGTCTCCACCCGGTGGCCCTCCTGTATCCAGTCCAGGCCTCAGGACACCCTATGCAAGCTGACTTCAACTCAGTGGACGCAGCCAGAAGCAGCCCTGACCTCCCACTGCTTCTTTAAAACAGCTCTGGGCTTTATTTTCCCCTCCCTCGAGGAAGACTTGGACTGTCTCACGATTTTTCTCATCTATGCTAAATCCACTTCAGGTGGCAAATGCAGCCCCAATTAAAAGTCCTTGGCCCGTGTGACGATCAACGTTTCCGTCTTCATTCCAAGGAAAGCCTTTCTGTCTTTCCCCCAGCTGAGGTCTACTGCGCACAAAAAGCCAGAATCCGGGGAAGAGAAGAGTGGGCAGATTCTTTTTTTTCACTCTTCATCTTCCCTTTTAACTAATTCCGGTTTCTCTCTCCTCCGTTCTTGGGAGGCGGGTCTGGGGGCGGAGGGGGAGAGGTCAAGGGAGCAGGGAGTTCTTACCTGCCCGGTGCTATGGTATTGTGGTGAGATGGCGTCACGCTCAGAGCATAGTCGATGTTTAACGATGGTGTTAAAATCTCACGGGTAATTTTGTAGACTTGCGGAGACCATCCCGCCAACACTGGGAATCTCTCCGCTGTGGGCGTCTTGCTGGAACACTGTGCATCTCTTTTTGGGTTGCTTCCTTAGTCCTGCAGCCCCCGGGAATGTTCCAATACCTGTAGGTTCCTTGTGCTGAGGCCTCTTGCTCCTCCAGGGTGCTCTCTTGGCAGGGCATCCCCAGGGCAGCTTTATCTCATGGTTATCCCACATCTGGTCCACAGGAAACTCACATCCTTTGCCCCCATCAACCCTAAGTATAATTTGGTCTGAGTTCAGTAAGGATCTTTAGCGTCTAACCAAGTCTACCACCCATTAGATTTATCAGGCAGAGGACAAATAGTGGCCACAGAGCACTCAGTTACAGGGACGCCCATCAAGCACTCTAGGCTTGAGACGAGGGACAGACACTCTCGTAGCACACCAGGGCGCTCTCCAAAAATTCTCTTTCCCAAGAAATTCTCTTTCTACTGACTCCTTTATGTCTTTGACATGGGTGAGAAATACGAGGGCCAAGTAGTTGAGTTTTGGCCATATGCATTGAAAATTTCACCTTGGTTTGGCACCTTGCTATGGAATCTGAGATCAGTCTTATTAGGGTCTCCGGTGGAATGAAGGGAAGAGAGCCAGGATCCTGTGCCAGGTGGAAGGGGACTGGGGATGGCCCTCAGGGAGGGACTCCAGCCTCATCTAGGAAATGGAACACCAGACAGGAAAGTGAGTCAGAGCCCAGGGTAAGGACTGAACCAACCCAGATATCCCGGGCACGCACCTCATGTGCATCTCAACAAGAGAGGCGAGCATTCTAACTCTTAATAACCTGGACTGTAGTCTGAGACCATCTGGATCCGAATCTCGGCTCTGCTGTTTTCAGGTTGAAGGTCCTTGGGCAAATTACTTTTTGTATGGGTCAGCTATTGCTGCAATAATGCTGTGTAACAAACCGCTCCCAAAGGTTTCTTCTCATCCTTACCGGACCCCAGGTCAACTGCAGTTTGAGTGGTCTAAGCCAGTCGTTGCTACGCTTGACTTCAATGCTGATCCTGTCTTTATTTAAAATTTTGATGTTTCGTTCATTGTGGATGTCTTATTCTGTTTTGGCTGCTATAACAAAAATACCATGAACTGGATATTCCCAACATACTCATATCACAACATAAACTGGCTGATATAAACAACAAAAATTTATTTCTCAGAGTTCTGGAGGCTGGAAAGTCCAAGATCAAGGTGACAGCCGATTCAACGTCTGGTGAGGATTCGCTTCCTGGTTTATAGACGGTCATCTTCTCGCTGTGTCCTCACATGGTGGAAGGGGCAAGGGGGCTCTCTGGGGTCTTCTTTATAAGGGCACTAATCCCATTCAGGAGGGCTCCACCCTCATGATCTAATCATCTCCCAAAGGCCCCACCTCCTAATACCACCATGTTGGGGGTTAGGTTTCAATGTATGAATTTTGGGGAGATGCAAACATTCAGTCTACAGCAGGGGATTTTTTTGCGTTACTTTTTATTTTAAAAATATTACATGAAAATATTTAGCTTGATTCCTGAGTTTTGTGGCATCTCCTTAAATTTTTGCACTAGAGGCAGTTGCCACACTCGCTCACCCCAGTCTTGGTCCTGGCTCCAGGACTGGGTTCCGGTCTGGTCCACATCTTTGCTCTGGGACGCCCCCCAGGCTGAAGAGCCTGCAGCACCCAGGGCGTGACTTCTCACGGCGGATCATTGGAACACAAAAGGGTAGGTGGACACATGAGTTGCCTCCTGAGACCTCAGCTCAGAAGGACTCAGGACACACTGTCACTTCTGCCACATTTCATTGGCCGAAGCAAGTCACCCAGCCAGCCCACAATCCGTGGGGTTAGGAAAACGTACTGTGTCCACTGCAGGGAAAGGTACCGGGGATCACGTGGCAGAGATTTTATGTGGATGTTCTAACACAGGGAAGACATGGGGATTGTGAACATGGCAATCTACCCCAGCTGTCTTCTCTGCGACTCAGTTTCCTCTCTTGTAAAACAGGGTTAATAATGCCGCCATCTCATCGGACTGCGATGAAGTGTAAATGAATTAGTACTTGTGAAATACTCAGAACAGTGCCCGGCATGTGGTAAGTGTGAGCCACAATTATTTCCATGTCAGTGAGACCCGCTGCGGGCCCACTGGGCTGGGCACGCTCCCGCTGTGGCCCTGCCCTGCAGCGTCGGCTCTGGCTGTGTGCCTCTTACGAGCCCACCTTGCATGCATCGCCTCT